CGCTTCTTCTACAGGAGGTGGGGTCTTGGCTTTCCACTGCCACAAGGGCCACGTCCTTTTGTCTAGAGGTGGCTTGCTGTCCATTTACCAGCCACCCTTCTGAACCTTCTTTCTTGTTAGGTTAAAAGTGCCCGATGCTCACTTACCTTTTTATCTTTTGCTGCTAGAGCGTGGGCCCGAGACCATATTCTGGCCACATGAGAAGAAATCTCCTGGAGCCTTCTGGAAGGAGGCAAGGGAGGAGAAGTGTCCCCGTCCTGCTTGTGAACACAGCTATAAGGAGCAGCAATGTCCAGAGCTAGACCTCTACACCAGAGGCACTGTGACCTCTACATCAAGGGTGACGAGGGCCTGGGTCATGGATGATGGTGGCAGGCCCTGCTCTGTTCCCTGCAGCCCAGAGCATCCTGAGGGGCACGGCATTCTTTCAGCTAAGATGGAGATGACCCAGAATGAGCACGGGAGGCGGGGTGCAAAGGCTCCCTGTCCACGCCAGCCACAGGCCACGCTGAAGGATCAGCAGAGCTGCCCTCCCTGTGAGCCGGGCACCGTGCTCACTGCTGCCCGTGGTCTCCACCGCCGCATCCAAGCCTAGAGCCACCAGAGGCGCTGCCTGACAAACTCAGCCTGGAAGAAATGTGTGGCTCACGGGAGGGCATCTACGTCTTTCTCAAAGTCCACAGCCACAAGACACCGACGCAAGCAGGATTCCCAGGCAGCTTGGTGGACCCGCGACTTTCCACTCTCCCCCGCGGCAGGGCCATGGCCTTGGCAAAGCAGCAAAGCAGCCCGGGGGGAACCTACATGCCCCGCAGCCAGGCTGGGTGGCCCCGGAAATGGCTGCCACTTGGGAACGGGGACCGCTTTTGCTGTCTGTGCTGAGTTTTCAAGGGACGCTAAGACTGTGATTTTAGGCAAAAGATTCAGGCTTTTAACCCTATTCTAAACATTTTAAGCACAGTAGAGACCACCCCCTTTCTCTCCTCTCCCAAGCCCACCAAAAATCCATTGACCACAGTCAGCTCGTGCTCGGCTGCCAGCGGGAGTTTCCTGCACTTCCTCTCCCTCCCCAGCTCCTCTTCCGCTCTGCCAGGAACCTCCAGCCCCACCCACGGCCTTCAAATGCCTGCCTCCAAGAGAACCTCTTGTCCTCTCCGTCACAGGCCACCAGCAGAAGCCCCCCAGCTGGTCTCCTGGCACCACAGTGAAGCCAGGTGGAGCCAGGACACAGCTGGGATCCTCCAAGTCTTGCAAGTCACCCAGTGGAGCAGGTAGACATCTGTATGCAAAACAAAACAAAACCTTGACCCGCACCTCCCGTCATCTATAAGAACTAACTCATAAAACTTAAAGCTTAAAAACTGTAAAACTTCTAGGAGAAAACATAGGAGAAACTTGTTGCAATCCTGGGTTAGGGAAGAATTTCTTAGATGGGATACAAAAAACACACAAAAGGATAAATTGATAAATTTTAACTCACAAAATGAAAAACTTCTCTTCTTTGAAAGATACTGTTAAAAAATGAAAAAGTCTGGGAGAATATATTTGCAAAACACATATCTGCTAAAGTCCAGGTATGCAGAATATATAAAGAATGCTCAGAACTCAATGATAAGAAAACAAACTAAAAAAAAAAAAAACGGGCCAGAGATCTATACTTCAGAAAAGAATGTATATGTATAGCAAGTAAGCACATGAAAAAGTGCTCCATGGTATTTGCCGTGAGGAAAACGTGAATTAAAATCAGAATGAGACATCATTACCTACCAGTCAGGATGGCTAAAATTAAAAAGGCTGACAATACCAAGTGCTGATCAAGACACAGAACAACTGAAACACATGTTTTTTGGTGCAGATGCAAATGGCACAGTCACTTTGAAAACAGCCTGTCAATTTCTTACAAAGTTAAACACATTTCATTTGACCCCGAGATCTCGCTCCTACTTACGTTCCCAGAAAAACCCACGTAGCCTTTTTATTCATAATTGTCCCAAACTGGGACTAGCGCAAATGTCCATCAGTTAGTGAATGGATGAACAAATTGAGGAACATCCATACAGGGAATAGTAATCAGCATTGAAAAGGAACAAGCTGTTGATTCACGGATCGACATGGATGAATCCAAAGGCTGCATACTGTGTGATGCCATTCATGTGACCATCTTGAAAAGGCAAATCGTTAGGACAGAAAGCAGCTCAGTGGCTTCTGGGTGTGGGGAAGGGGAACGAGGGAACCTTTGCCCGAGATGAAATTGTTCTACATCTTCACCGATGTCATGGTAACACAACCGTATACCTTTACAAAACGCTGCAAAATATGAATTTTTCTGAAGGCAAATTAAATCTCAATAAAAACCAGACTTAAGAAACATCCTTCAGGTGACTACCTGGTTGTAAAGTCATCTGATTCAAGCTTCCTCAGGAAAAGGAGAGTTTTATATATTAAGACATCATAAGGAAAATGGGTTTCATGGAAATTTGACACAAGAGGTACAGGAGCCCAGGCTCAGGGAGACAGGAGAAAGAGGGTGTCTGTCTGGGGCTGACTTTCAGCCTCTCCCTTCACAGACTGAGGCTGGAGCAGTCAGTTGTTCCTCACCTGGTCTCTGGGGCCAGACCCCCTGCGGATCCCAGGTGCAGACATCTGGCTGGCCCGTCCTTCCACCCACCAGCAAACACACACCTTGGGCCAAGTGCCATCAATTGCTGTGTAGGGACCAAAGAAGGGTGTGGGTATTGGGGGACTATGGACAGTTCCACATGGGGGGAAACTGTGCCGGTGGACCCCAAACAGACAGATCGGACCCTCCCACCACCTTTGGGTTAAAGTAGAAACGCCAGAGCATGATGGAGAAGTCCCTCCTTACCTTTGCATCCTGGTGTCTCGTCAAGCCTCCTGACGCCCTCGTTTGCTCTGGCCCGGTATTTTATGATGAAATGCAACTACTTGGTAAGTTCTTTCTTGGCTCTGGTAGGGCCCGGAAGTATCCCTCCATCTGAGAGGTCTTTTCTTTGGGTCCCTCTTTGTGGAACTGACCATCTTGGATACTCCGGGACTTGCTGGGGCACTGCTGCCTCTAGGAAGCCTTCCTGGAATGCTGCCAGGCTCCCCACCTCTGTATGCCAGGGGCAGCCTGTATTTCTTATCCTGACTGCAGGTGGGTCCTGCCCCCACCAGTCCTTACCGCTGACCACCGGTTTCCAGCACTCCCTTCCTGGTGCACCCGCCTGTGTCCAGTGGGGCCATAGGCCTGGCCTCCCCCCACAGGAGCGGGAGTGAGGCCGGGCCACACTGGCCAGAGCATTTCACTGTCAGGGTGCCGTTCACCTCATTCTCTTTTCCTTCGTCAAGGCCGTTGGCAATGTTTGAGCGGAGCCCGGGCCCCAGGGCGCAGCATTCACGTCCTCCGTTCATTTGCTCTGCTGATGCTTTCACTCGCAGGATATGGCTTCCCAGCGACGGATGACATTCCCCCAGAGCGCCCACTGAGCGCCAGGCACTCCCCCTGCTGGGATGGCACCTGGTTATCCTTGTCCCATGCCCACAGTCAACAGGGGAGAAGGCATTAATCAATTCCTTCCTAATTATAATTAGTCTATCAAAGTCTCTACTTCCAGCTGAAGGAGCCTCTAGCACATCCTTGGATAACTGAACTCCTCATGATCACGAAATCCCGTTTTCTGTCCTGACGCCTAACTGCTACCAGTGCATTTCCCTCAAGTGAAGCTCTTGAGCCCAAAGCCACACCGCGGGGCTGGTTCTCCAGGGTAATTTGCATCCCACGTGGCTGTGCTGTACGGTGGCGGCTTCCATCCTACCGAACAGGAGCACGCGGCCCCGGGGGCATTTAGAATTTGCAGCAGGAGAAGGCACTAAGCTGCAGTCTGCCCACACGATCGGCTGGCCCGGATCGCCACACAGGGCACAGCTGCATCTTCTACAGCCACAACCAGAGTGACAAGTTCATGAACTTGGATCATGTAGTGGTGCTGAGTGGGCCCTGCCCAGAAGGACCATGCAAGGTCTACGCGGAGCTGGGAAATGTGGGGAATGAGGGCCTGTCCTAGGAATTCTGGGGGTTGCTGTCACCATGAAAACACTTGAGGACATTTATTTTCATCCCTTCTCAGTGAAGAGTAATGTTTGAAAACCCATATGTTTTCAGACAGCTAAATACGATACCTGACCCTACAGTGGAGGATCTTGGGATGGAGGGGAAAGAAATACTATAAAAGACATGGTCAGACCAACTGGCAAAACTGGAATATGGACCAAGAATAGATACACATATTTTATCAATATAAAGCTACGAATGTGGTAACTGCACTGTGATTATGTAAGATAACACCCCTACTCGTAGGAAAGACATATCAAAATATACAGGGGTAAGGGGCTATAATAGGGTATGGAACTTACCTACAAATGATTCAGGAAAAAATGTCTATGCTTAAAGTGCTTTTCAAATATCTATTAAAGCCCGCTGAGTATCAGCCTTTCCGGCTGGTGCAGGCTCTCCTTGCTCATTGGAGCCTTTGGCAAAGCTGTAAGAGTCAAAGCTCATACAACTTTCGAGAAGTGGCCCAACTCTTTTTTACTCTTCTTTAATTTGCTCTGGATCCTTTGTCTACAACAGGAGTCTTTGTGCTCAGTTTGGTTCTTCCAGGAACTAAGCTCCGTCCCATTATTCCCTCTAGATTTTCATCCTTGGGGTTTTCTGAACTTGGACCAATGGGGAGACATTTTCTGGAGGCTTATTTCAGTTACAAGAAAGGATGAACTTTCATGGATAAATCAGGCCAAAGGTGGGAAAAACAAGAGCTATAAAAAGTGCCCTAAAGAGTTTTGGCAGAATCCTTATTCTGCACTTACCAGTTACTTGACCTTCGACAAGTTATCTAACCTCTGGGAGATTTGGTTTCCTAGTCTGTGCAGTGGGCATCTCCTAGTAACAAGTTCAGAGGGTTAAATAAGAGGATTAATGAAAGTTGGGCACAAAACGCATGCTCAGTAAAGGTAAGCTATTACTGCAGCTGCTTTTATAACGTCAAATCCCAGAAAGACATAATTATTATCATCCTATTTGTATTATAATTTTGATTCAGTAGAGATTAATAATCATATTAATGATAATGGTTTCCACTAATTCAGGGGTTCCTTCTTACCAGTCGTTTTATGTTGCAAGTAACATCTCATTTAGCCCCCAGGACATCACTCCGGAGGCGGGCTTATTAGCCCATTTCAAAGATAAGGACTTTGAGGCCCGGTGGCATTAAGAAAATATGCAGGGCCTCCCACTCCACCCACGCTCTGGTGCTGGCACTCAGATGCGGAAACCGTGGCTACGAGAGAGTCTAGGCTCCAGACCCGGCTGGCGGCGAGCGGACACTCGAGCCCAGGTTTCCCGGTCCCGGGAGGGACCGCAGCCCACAGCACAGCCCGTGCAGCCACCTCGCCTCCGTCCTGTCCTCTCGCTACGCCCGGGACGGAGGATCGAGGCCGCACAGTTCCTTCTTGACTTTCAAAGAATTCGCTTGCAAATTGCCTTCCACGACAGGTCCGATGTGTGTTTCGCGGACGCCCCAGCCTGGGTGGTCGGGGTCCCGCGTCCGGGGGTCCCGGGGGCGGGACGAGGCGTCCCGGCGCCCCCGCCCGGCTGCGGGTCCCCAGCTCCCCGCGTCGGCCCTCGGCAGCAGCAGCGGCCTCCGGGAGCTCCGGCCACGCACCCCCCGCGCCCCGCCCTGCGTCCAGGCCGCGGCCCCGCCCGCGCTGGCGCCCCCGAGCGGTCCGAGCGGTCCGGGCGGCGGCGGCGGCGGCGGCGGCGGGAGGAGGAGCAGGAAAAGCGACCGGGGGAGGAGGCGGAGGCGGCGGAGGCGGAGGCTGAGGCGGCGGCGGCGGCGGCGGCGGGCGGGGCCGGGCGGGTTTAAAGCCCATCGAGGGGGTGGGGAGGCCGGGAGGAGGCAGGGAGGGACGCGAGCGGCGCGCTGCGGCGGGCTGGGCGCTCGGAGGCCGCGGAGCCCCGCGCGGAGCCCAAAGTTTGCGCGCGGTCCCCGGGCGGCGGCGCGCGGGGGCCGGGACCGCCCTGCGCGCCGCCCTCGCCCCGCGGGACCCGCGCCGCCCCGGCCGCGCCGAGGGGCGCGGGCGGCCAGGCGGAGGCGGCCGGGAGCGGCGCCGCGGCAGGTACGGAGTTGTTCGGCGAGCGCAGCGCCAAGTTACTTTGTGGCCGGCCGGCGGGAGGGCGGCAGTCCCGGCGTTATTGTCTGCGCGCGGGCCGCCCGGGCCGGGGACGCCGGGCGCCGCGGGGGCGCGGCGGGCGGAAGGGCGTCGCCTCGGGCCGGGGTCTGCGGCGCGCGAGGGCGGGGACCGGGCGCGGCGCGCGGCGTCTGCGACCCCTGGGAGCCGGGGAGCCCGGGCGACGCCCGCTGGAGCCCTCCTGTCCGACGCCGGCGGCTCGCGGGCCGGACCGGGGCTGGGGCGGGGCTGGGGGCCGCGTCGCCGGGCGGTCAAGGCCGCGCTCCCGGGCCGCCCGGAGAGTGGGCGCCGCGCGCCCCTGCAGCCCCCGGTGCGCCCGCGCCTGGGCGGTGGGGCCGGACCCTCCCGAGCCGGAGCGCGCCCGGGCCTGGGATCTTTCCTTCTGGTTCTGCCGGTGACCCCGCTGCCAGGGCCTAACCCCAAGTCGAGGGCGCGCGGGTTAGCGGCCCGCCAGCCGGGGAAATGTGATAAGAGCCGTGCCGTTCACAGAAGGCAGTTTCTGATGCAACTCTCGGCCTCTGCGATCTCCTCTCCCCACGCCTGCCTGGCGACGGCCCTCGAGCATGTGCGTTATGGAAATGAGGGTATTCTCCACTTTTTATTGTGTTCGTCTTGTCTTGGGGTTGGAAGAAACGCCAACTTTCTGTCGTTTGCACTGACGAGGCGGTGGGTCACGTAGGGGAGCCACAGGTGACTTGGCTCGGGCCCGGACCTTTTCGGCTGCTTTCTTGCAAACGTTGTCCCCAGCTTCATTCAAGAGATGCGAAGAAAAGACCCAAACAAGTAGCGCTCGTGAGTAAACACGCGTTATTGCACAACTTTCTCTTTGCTGCTGTTTACGAGGCCAGGCCCAGGACACTTTGTTTCTGAAAATGCTGATTCAGCCGTTTGGAGCCCCCGAGTTTCAGAAATGGTGCTCTCTCTAACGTTTCGCTGAGTTTTACTAGGAACACATGTTGTTAGCACGGCAACAGGCGTTGACTGGGGTTTACAGCACCAAGCTGGACGGTTTTCACAAGAGTTGACCTAGAGTTCCCTTCGTTCTTTCCAGGAGGAAAAATGGATAGGATCTAGGTTTCTGTAGCAAAAGAAATTCTGACTTCTGGCGATGGTGGTGTCTTTTACGGTAGTATTTTATTAGGGAAAAAGCTCTGAAACCAAAGTGTTTCCAGGAATGATGGTAGATGACTGCGTTTTTCGGTTAAAAATCAGAACTCTAGGATTACTGCATATAATATTTGAGTTTTACTGAGGACCCTTGAAAGAGAAGGACCACACAGGCCAATCCCAGGATTACAGGAAGAGAATTTGAGGACAGAGAGAGTCACACACGCAGCAAGCTGCTTGCGTAATTGAGAACTGTAACGAGGGATACTTCTGTAGCATTTCGCGTTTTGCGAGACGCGTTCAAACCCTAACTGCTTTTAATCCTCTAACAGCCTCCTGCTACCCATTTTACAGGCATGGAAACTGAGGCTCATGAGATTAGTTGTAATGCCCAGGGTCACGGGGCCAGCAAGTGCCAGAGTTATCACCAGAGCCTAAGCTTTGGGTTTTTTTTTTTTTTTTTTTTAAGCTCTGTTAGGTTCATCCTTCTGTACAGGTGCATCTGCCTCTAAAAGAGAAACGGCCCGTCACCGTGCCGGTCACACACCCGGAGAACCCAGGAGGCTCTGTTACCATTCCCGGGGCTCCCAGCCTTCCAGATTTTTGCCCTATCACCAGGCTATTATCAATGCCTTCTTTTGTCCACTCACTTTTTGTGCTTAAATCCACATTTATTTTGGTAGGAAACTTTGATACCCGTGAACTAATGAGTCTGAAACAGTAGTTATGTTTATTGTAATTAAAATCATGTTTTAATAAAAGCTGTGTCCCGCTGAAGTCATGTATTGCGTATTGCCCATGGTCGGCACTGCTTTGGGGGCAGCATTGGACTGGGCAAAATGCCATTCATTGTGGTCCAGGAACGCGGAGCTGGGCATGGGCATGTTCATGCCAGCTACTCGTCCAGGGCTTGTAGGGTGGTGGCTGCCAGGATCGGAACCTGGGGCAGCCCTGGCCCAGTTACAGTGACCATCTCTGTGGCCGCTGACCCTCAAACGGGAGAGAGGAGCAAAGCCAGACTCTAAGAGCTATTCCACGAACTTGTGATTTAGATGGTGAGGCTGGTCTAAGACGTTACAACGTATAGAAACCAGACTCCTGCTTGAACAAAGATTACCTACCATGTCTTCACCTTCATCTGACAGCTTTAGAAATTCTAGGTTGGTATATTTGATAAAACCTAATGCTTTCAAGGCGACATAATTTAAGAAACTTATTTCCTTGGAGTTATGTCCAACTCTTAACCACAGGGGAAGAGAACCGTGCACAGTGGTTGGCTGGCCTGCCTCTCAGAACTGTGAGACTGACCGCAGGGAATTCTGTCCTGCTTCATGGGGAGAAGCGTGCCCGTTTGCAGCTCGGGGTGTGATCCCTGTGTCTGTTTCTCAGGCTGTTAAACCAAGGTGGAATCGTGTGGGCCCATAAGGAGAAAACATTTGCTATGCCTTTCTTTTAAGTAATCAGTCATATGTTCAGAATTTAACTAAAACTTTTCCTGCCAGTTGAGAATTTATTTCACCTGTCTTTACTTTTTGCTTAACTGTGGATGTATGGGAGATCATGGAAGACGTTAGGGCAATCAAGTGACTTGGTTGGCAAGGCTTGGCAAACTGGTGCTTTGGGGATCTGGGAACCTCCTACAAGGCCTGTGTGCTAACTTTAGTGTTTATAACTGATCACACCCATTCAGGCTGGTGTTTACTTTGTGTTAGTGTTTTATGGCACATTTCTGGGGGGCTGTCTGTCCCCCCACCGTCTCCGTCCAGCGTCCGTGCTCCTGGTGACCATGGATCTTGTTAAGTGTAAGGAGATGAAAGCAGGTGAAGCTTAAAATCGCCAGGCTGCTGGCTTTTCTTTAATAATGTAAGGCATGGTATGACTGTTTTTTGAGCTGGCAACGAGAAAAGCCATGTCCCAGAGTTATCAGAAATCCTCCCAGGGGTAGAAGTGAGTGCTTGTGACTTTCCGCTTTGGGGATATACCAACGCCAAAAAGCTATCCCTTTTTTGCTCGTGCAGTGGGAGAGGTGGGCTTGAGAATGAGAGAAGCCTTGCTTGCCCAAGTGCTCCTTTGTCCATCTGTGAAAGGGATGGGTGTTGAGGTGGAAAGAGCTTCTCTGCCCCTTAAGTCATAGTCTTGCCCGGAATGCATGGGATGAAGTTGGTGGGTAATGACTGGATGCCACAGGGAAAACTAGGACATTGGTCCTGTTTCTCCACCATTGAATTTACATGTGGATTGGGGGGGGGAGGTTAGAAGACTGTTTTGATGGTCACAAATTGCAGTGCCTGAAAACATTCTTGAAGCTGATTGTCTTTAAAAAAAAAAAGACATCTTGTTCCCTTTTGCTTTGCCCAGGTGGACGCCTGGTTCTTCCATTTACTAGCTGGGTGAGCAGGTTAACTAAGCTTATTGGTAAAATGAGAGTCACAGGGGTGCTGACCTGTAGGGAGGGTGGGGTGCCTTTGGGATCGTGTGTACCTTGGCATGTGGCACGTGGGAGGGCTCAGAGACACTGCTTCTGTGACACTGAGCCTGTCTCAGAGCAGCTTGTTGGCTTTCCTATGAATGTGCAAGGTCTCTCTATTAATCGGAAGGGAGACTCTGCTTTTTTTGTATTTTTGTCTCTGCACCCATTAGCTGTACAAAACCTTGTGGCACTGACTGAAACTGGCTTTGAGCGCCAGTCGCTGGGAGCGAGAAGCCTCTCCTGGCCGCTGGGTAGCCGACAGTTTGAACTGCCCACAGGTAGAATGCTATGAGCAGAGGCGGACAGGTGGGATGGAGACCTCGCCTGGCCGCAGACCACTTGAACCAGACCACGGGGAAGAGCAGGCGTCAAAAACTGGTTCTTTGTGACCAGGAGCGAGAGGTTGGCAGTGGCTGAGATGCACGGGCTCAGACTGGCTGCGGTGCCGGGCGTCTGCGTGGAGACCGCTAGGTGCAGGCACAGGCTCAGACCGGCTGCGGCGCCGGGCGTCTGCATGCAGACCGCTAGGTGTAGGCACGTGGGGACACACGGTGTCTGTCATCAGGACCCCGGGGTCTGGAGTCTGCAGAGACGCTTAGCCCAGCTGGGACTGAAATGCACGTGGACTGCCAGTCCCGACGGGCTGACTTTGCCCCAGGGAGCAGCTCCTGCACCCTGTCCGAGGGCTGTGTGCTGGGCAGCCCTGCCTCTCCCTGAAGCCCGGCTGGGTTTTCGGGCCAGGTCAGTGGGCTCGGGCCCCAGCAGCTGCAATCTCGCCTTGTAATGTGGGCTCAAAAAGCACTTGGCATGGAAAGAGGTTGCTGTGTTTTGTCCTTCTTCACTGTGTTACTGTCACCACAACTGAAAGCAAGGTGGGCAGCTGGGACCCTCCATTGTCCTTGCGCTGCCCGTGGAACTGCCTGGTGGCCTACTGTCTGGCCCTGTCTGTGAGCTCTCCGGTGTCTCACTCTGCAAGAGAGAATCCTGAAGAGCCCTGTCAGGTGGGTGCCAACAGGGAGGGGCCTTCAGCTAGCCTGGGTCACACTTGAGATGCTTCTCAGAGGAGAGAGACTCTGAGGACTCACTTCTCCAGCCAGCTGGGCCTTTGGTTTCCTTATTGTTTTTTTTTTTGGAAACTTTCATCCCTGGGAGTGTCTTCTTCCAACCTTTTATGAGTTGCAAACATCCTTTAATCTAAAGACTTTTTTTATGCCCCATATCTAATAGTCATCTTAGGGTTCCCTGCTCCAAGAAACTCATCGTGACCAAAAAGCTACTATGAACTGAGGGACGTTGAAATTCAGGAGTTTGTACGGTAGCATCATGCGCGTGGGAGGTCTCCCCGGGCCTAAGGGTGGTGCCTGCACTAGATGCAGGACACTGCTTAGGAGTCTTCCTGTGGGCCGGGAGGTTGAGCTGGGTGATGTCCTGGATGGACCGGCACAGTCTGTGACTATGCTACCCAAGAGCCTCCAAGTTGCTTTTTCTGGAATGCCGCTGTGCTCCTCTGAACTGTGTAGATCTCCTGGAGACCGCTCCAGGGTGTTTCTAGATAAAGGAGTGCATGAGACCTTCGTGGCATCTCCCTAGTGGAGGAAGGGTAAGGCAGGACAGCTTCTTGTTCCCTAGTTGGGCCATTCCTTAACTGCAGGCATGTCCTGGCCCTTCTCGCCACCGCGGGGCCTGCAGGGCCACAGTGGACACAGCCAGCCTCTGTCGTGTGCTGCTCTCCCCAGGTGGGGCCCCGTCTTCTGCTTTTCTGGCCTTCCCAAGCAAGTTCTGTCCATTTGAAGGGTCACTGGCTTCCTAATCCCTCAACACCCAGGGCAGACTTCGGAAATTTAGTTTTTTTAATCAGTGATAAATGTACATAGTTTAAAGAGTCAGTGCCCCAGAAGCAACCAGGCTTATCAGCCGACCTTTTCTGTATTCACCTCCATGTTTCTAAGCAGATGTCTGTATAATGTGTTGTAGTTCCTTGCTGTCTT